ACTTGAGGCAACCAGTCTGACTAGTGTTCCTTAGATCCACATAATGTTGTAGCTCTATTACCAGTGGTTTTAATAGTCCCTTAGATACTGATATTGCATATACTGCACTCACTAGCACAGTACCTTTGGGTACCTTGAAATTACCACCAGCTAGTGCAGTAACAGCTACTTCAGTATCCTTGGACACTGCTCCTTGAGGACACTCTAATCTGAATCCATATTTCTCCCACTGGAGTGAGTGAGACCTGTCTCCTTGTAGGATAAAGAGCTTCTGTCCAGCTATAATGACACTAGAGTCTAGTGAATCTGAAACAATACACACACATCATATCTAATACCAGTATAGTACTCACACAATCATTCACATGTGTACATGTACATGTACATAATTAATTTACCCATTGAAGGGATCAGGTAATTAAATTGTAGTCCAATGGAACTAGTCTTTTTCATGGACTGTTCCTCTAAGAATGTGACCTTCTCCTGTAGTTGTGACTTCTCCTTCATTAGTTTGGTTGTATACGATTCATTATCAGACAATTTAGCTCTTAGGTCTATAAATTAATATAATATTAATAATTATTTTGATTGATGATGATACACTAACCAGTAATGATCTGTTTCTCATTTGATGTCAGTTTGGCTATAACTTTATCTTTCTCAGAAATGAGATTTTGATTGTCGACTACACAATAAACATATTCTCTCATCTAATACATGCTGTGTGTATAGTTAACTAACAAATAATAATCTGCTTCTCCTTGAGATATTGCTCCTCCATATCAGTTACTTTGAGTTTCAGTTTCTCATAATCTTCTACATTAATAGAATATTCTCTCATCTAATATTATGTACTGATGATACACCAACCAGTAATAATCTGTTTCTTCTCCTCTACTTGTGTCTTCTCTTCAAATATTTCAGCAACTTTAGCTTTACGCTTCTCATTATATTCTATTAGAAATAAAAATACAAAAATACAAAATAAAATGATATTTATTGCTTAAACTAATTTGCACTACATGTACAGTAGCCCATAAATACATGTACTATGATTACTGCTAATAATACCATATATGGTAAGCAGAGCTCACTCTACATCAATCTCATTATTTCTAATGCATGGACAATTTTGACCTATATTGAGTACAGGATACTATTTCCATACTCAACATTGTCTAATCCACTAGTATTATAATGTAAACAATGTACACATAAACAACAGTACAACACAATAGTACCTAATTTAAGATTTGATTTATCCTTTTCTGCTTGCTCAAGGAGAGTGGTAGCATCATCAAGTTGCTGACTAAGTTGTGCCTTTTCTTGAAGAAGCTGTTGCTGCTCTTTGTCTCGATCTTGCTGTATCTGCTTC